TTTACATTTAGTGTGACTATCGATAGGTATGTACTTATTGCCATTGTAGGCTTTAGATTCATGGTTACCAAAGGATGAAGTGTAATTCCCTTACTATCCAGCAGTGTAATTTAACCCACCTTGTATGCTATTACAAACACACCCTAAAGGTTCTTTTTGCTTTTTCCTCCTTTTTCTTCCTCCTCCATTCTTTGTATGTTATGAATCATATTCTGTACTCTTTGTCTATCCCTTGGATGACATCTATTTAACCTTAGGAATACTTCCATCTATAGGAGTTCCTCCAAAATACACTGTAGAGGTGGTTTTGGGGAGGCGAATTCTCTCAGCTTTTTCTTATCTGAAAATTGTTTAATCCCCCCTTCAAATTTAAATGATAACCTTGCCGGATAGAGTATTTTTGGTTCAAGGCCCTTCTGCTTCATTGTATTGAATATATCATGCCACTCCCTTCTGGCCTGTAAGGTTTCTGTTGAGAAGTCTGATGATAGGCTGATGGGTTTTCCTTTGCATGTGATCTTTTTTCTCTCTCTAGCTGCTTTTAAAGGTCTGTCTTTATTCTTGATCTTTGCCATTTTAATTATTATATGTCTTGATGTTCTCTTCCTTGGGTCCCTTGTGTTGGGAAATCTGTGCACCTCCATTGCCTGAGAGACTATTTCCTTCCCCAGATTGGGGATGTTTTCAGCAATTACCTCCTTAATGACACTTTCTATCCCTTTTTCTCTCACTTCTTCTTCTAGTATCCCTGAAATATGAATAATAATCTGTTTGGATTGGTCACGTAGTTCTCTCAATATTCTTTCATTCTTGTAGATTCTTTTTTCTCTCTGTACCTCAGCTTCTTTGTATTGCTCTTCTCTAGTTTCTATTCCATTTACTGTCTCTTCTGCTACATTTAATCTGCTTTTAAATCCCTCCATTGTATGTTTCATTTCAGATATGGAATTTCTTAATAATTGAATCTCCATCTTAAATTCATTCCTGAGTTCTTGAATATTTTTCTGTACCTCCATAATCATGTTTATGATTTTTATTTTGAACTCTCAGGAAGGTTGGTGAGTTCAGTTTCATTTGGCCCTTTTTCTGTGGTTTGTGAGATTTTGGTCTGAACCATGTTCTTTTGATGATTCATAATTCTATTAGGAAGGTTGGTGAGTTCAGTTTCATTTGGCCCTTTTTCTGTGGTTTGTGAGATTTTGGTCTGAACCATGTTCTTTTGATGATTCATAATTCTATAAGGTGCCCTCTAGTGCCCAGAAGCCCCAGTCTCTGGAGCTGCTCAACCTTTAGAGTGACTTTGGGGTTTGTAGCAGAGCAGCACTGGTGCCTGGGGGGAGGAAAGGTCTGTTCCCTGATTCCCATCTGCGGTGCCTGTCTCCCGTGTCAGAGCCAGTGGGCGGAGCACCCAGGTGTGAGCCTCTGTGCTGCGCGTCTCTAGCTGTTGTGGGCAGGGCTTTCCTCTAGCTGGCCTGACGCCAGCACAGTGACTGCGGGTTTGCAAGCAGGTGCCAGCTGGCCAGGAGGAAGGCTCGGCAGGCTGCGTGTTGCAGTGTGGGGCCTCAGTGTTGAGCAACCAGCCCCGGGAATGGGCCACCTGAAGCTTGTCTAAGTTCCCAACCTGCTGGGCAGACATCCTCGTCCAGCTCTCCCCTTCTCCGCACAGCAGCTCTGTGCAAACCCCGCCCCTTCAGCAGCCCCCTCGCTGCTAGGAAGCCTCTCAGACCGCCCGCATTTCCCTTGTCCGAGAGTGGCTGGGTGTGGACCCCGTCCTCCACAAATGGCTGGAATGTCTGTCTCTCAGGTACTCCGCCTGTCCCAGCTCCCCATCCTCCAGAGCACCACGCAGTGTAGGTTTCTGCTCGCAGAGCAGACCTCCAGGGCTGGGTGTTGAGCAGTCTCAGGCCTCCACTCCCTCCCTGCTCAGTTTCTGTTCCTCCCGCCGGTGAGCTGGGGTGGGGGTAGGGCTTGGGTCCCGCCGGATCAAGGCTTTCATTCGTTACCCTGTTTCGTGAGGTCTGTATGCAGTCTGATTCAGCCTTCTTTTCTGTTGCTGTTTTAGGGTTAGTTGTATTATCTATATTTTTGCACTGTCTGTGGTTTTGGGAGTCGTTCTCTGTCTCACCTCTCATGCTGCCATCTTGAGTCTTCTGCTATGGGTTGTCTTTTTATTTTGGTGGTAGTGTCCGTTGATGCACAAAAGTTTTTAACTTTGATGGAAGTCCAATTTATTATTTTTCTTTTGTTGATTATACTTTTGGTGTTAGGTCAAGAAATAATTTCTAAATCCAATGCCATGAAGCTTTTCCTGTATATTTTCATCTCAGAATATTATAGTTTTAGCTTTTTTGGCTCTTCAACTTTTTTTTCTTGAAAATCAAAGCAAAAGAAAAAGTGAACTTTGCTATTAAATAATGAATTTCTCTGGAATGATAACTTGTACAGTTTTCCTTGTATTCATTTTTTGATGTTTTTAAAAGGACAAATTTATGAAGATATTTGCTGTGCTATTTGATGCAACTTAATTCAAATAAATGTTCTTTTTTTAAACCTTTAATGATTGCCTATTACTGCTTTCTAATTTTCAAATCCATGGTATATTTTCCTTCATGGTCATCTTTTAAAATCCGCATTTGATACTCTCCCACTTTTGAGATCACATTTTTCTTGGTTGTCCTGACATTGTTTTTCATTTGTTTTTAGCTATATCCTCAGCCTTTGGCTTTTTACCTATCTACACATAAAATTTTCATGTTCTCATGTTCTTCATTTTCTCTTCTTCCTAGACATTATTTGTGGATACCTCATACACACTCTTAGCTGTAAATACCACTATGTTCTGAACTCTAGGAATCATCTTTCTTAAACCTGATTATATCATTCCACTACTTATGATCCTCTCAGGGGTTTCCTTTTTTCCTTTGAACAAAATCTAAACTTGTGTGTAGCCTGACATATAAGAGGCATCATGGTCTGGCTTCTGATGTGGCCAATCTGCTCCCTCTTTCCTGTATATGATGTACTATCCAATTATTTTGAGCTACTTAAATTTCCCAGAACATACATAACTCTACGTGATTGTCTTTCAAGATTATAGATCACCCACTCATTACTGGTAATACTTTAATCTTTTAATATTCAGTGTAAATACCCTTAAGAACAAACCAAAATTCAGCATAAGTATTACTCCAGATACTTTTTATTAAATAGAATTAAAATGCATTATTAATAAATTATGGTGCTTGCTTTACTCTTCTAGTTGGCAATCTCCTAATTTGGCAAAAAAAAATTTATTATAATAACATAGTAGTAAGTTTTTAATGTTTGTTAAAAAGTCCAGGTGTATATGTGTGTTTGTGTGTATAAATATTTCCTTCTCTACACTTGGTGTAATTAATTCTGTGAAATATTTACTAGGTCATCTTAACATGAAGAATTTTATGTTGAAGCTATGCACTCATTCATTTTCCAAAGAAAATAATTGAAAATAAAACTGTTTAATTATTGTAGTGAAAACTAAAACCCGCATTCCACATCATGATAATTCCTACTTCTTGTTTTTATGAACCAACATTCATTGTATTAGTTGTCCAGATTTTGAACACTTTGCCTTGGAAACTCTTATTGATAAATTAACACTTACGGTCTTATTTGTCATATTGCCCCAGAGACCATCCATAATAGTAGACTACATAAAAGAAAATACTATGTGCTGATCCATGTAATTTTGATTTTCTGATAAGAGGAACTAAGGAATACTAATTGGTGTTCTTAATTAGAGGAAAAATATTATAAATTCGCAGTATTACATAACCAGAAGGAAATCTATAATTACATTTTTTTGTTTTCATTTTTAATCTAGTGCCACATGATTAAAATGTAGATATTTACATAATTCAAACTATACTAGTATATCTAACTAGAAATAAATGTGATCAAAACTCAAAAAAAAACAAACTATTCTTACCTGAGCAATGTCAGGCAGGTACAAAGGATTTTTAATAGGTAGACTTTAAAAAATTTATGTAGCCATAGGAATTTTGTACAGATAAAGCATCAGTATCATTCAGAATATTCTGTGGTACATTTCATTGTTTAAATGGTCAAAAAATAAATTCTTTATAATTTTCCTTTTTGGTCCTTCTAAAGGGGGTTTCAGATAGGGAATTTTCAGTGTACACTTTTGTAAGCATTTATAGAGATCTGAATTATTAAGTTTTGATACTCAAGTTAGAAGAGAAATTATGAGAAGTCATGTGTTTCATATCCAAATCTCTCAAAATTAATTATTAGCTTTCCTTGGTATATTCTCCCAACATGAACATTTCAAGAGACAATAAAAATTACATATACAAAAAGCTAACTTCATATATTTATTACTGGAATTATATGTGTAATTCAGAAAAGTGAAGGTATACATCAAGGTACATTATTATACAAACTCTATAAAGTAGATGTATTATGTACTCTCTTTAATCCCATTCATTGTGGGTCAAGTAATGACTAATAGCTATTTAGGAAAGAAATGTAATCTAGAATAATCTCTTATGTTGCATCTTAGTACAGTAATCTTACTAGAATTTATCTGTTTCTTAAAAATTAGGTTTAAGATTTTAAAATTAAAATGGACAATGAACCATTCAATGATCACATAATTGTATTGCTATTTTTTATTCAATCATTTTTTATTGTATTTAATGTTAATGATTTCCTTCTATAGATACATCAGCGTATTTTATAATAATTAAGTGTTGCAAAATACATATTCTTACCAGATAGAAATATTGCTATTCTTTCTGGATAAAGAAATGTGATTATTTTTTCCTACTTATTAGATTTAGTTATTTTAATTTCATTTGTTTGAAACATTTCTATGGGAAGCAGTTATATAAAACATGTATAATATAAGAAGGCACAGTATATGATTTTATTAAATAGTTTTAACAGTATTTGCTTAGTATGTATTTCATTTATAAACTGTACTTTTAAATTTACCTCAGGAAAATGATTTGAATGAAACTCTCAAATCCCTGTATAACCACCCAATACCAGAGGCAAACACTTCTGTCCCCTTGAGTGTGGTAAGTATTCAATCAGCAACTTGTTACTGAAATTATGGCAGTTTCTCATGTAAGAACTCAGGCACCTTCAACAAACTGTTAAAAGAGCCCCTTCTGCTCCCCAGAGACTCAGTGCCCGCTGTGTGGCACCAGGCTGTCCGACATGCTTCAGACACCATAACGTCATATGTCAGATGTGTGTTTTGGTACTTGTTAAGTTATAAAGGTATTTTTAAGTTTTACACTAAAAGTAACTAGGTCTGTGAGAATGTTCTGATTGTGAGAAACATTTCAAGATTTTAAGGTGAAATCTGTCTACAATAAGGAAATAGATACATACACACAAACAACCCCTCCCACACACATAAAATACCATAAACACACATGAAGCATCCCTTCTAAAATGAAAACATTCTAAGAATTGCAAATATAGTATGTAACTACATGATAAAAATTCTGGGTTAAAAATTCCTCTCTTCCCCATACTTCAGTACCTATTCTATATAGGCACTAAGTACTGGACGTATGATTACAGTTTGTCAAAACAGTAAGCCTGTGGAGTATAAATTATTTACTGTGCCATCTATCTCTAAAAATGCTAATATTTTGGGAGGCTTAGTACATGTTCAAGGTTAATTTTCTTCCAAAGTAACAATAAACTGTGCTAAAAGGAAGAAAGATACATAACGATGCAAGAGAAATTGAAAGAAAAATAACGTGAAATTTAATAATATTATGGCCTTTTTCTTTTTTGCAAGATAAGGAAATTGTTATCCTTATTATATGCTTTCTTTGGTAATAACTTTCTTCTTGCTTAAATTCTCCCCTATAATTTTGTTTAATAATAGTGTTTTCTTACAGTATCCCATTCTTTATATTTCTGTCAGATCCCTAGTTCAGATGCTTGGCACTTCAAATAGTCCTCAGTCTAGAGTCTCTCTTTCTGATCCTTTCTACAAAAGACAGTCTAATTAAATTTCCTTAAGCTATACAAAGTTCCTGTCAAAAACCTAACAGCTCCCCATTTTCTGAAGAATTTGTCCAAACTTTTGGTCAGGATTTCAGGACTATCCACTTCTTACCCTCAAGCCAGCATTTCATTTTTCTGTCTCTTTTTTTTCTAAATTGATTCTCTATCTAGTCACATTATTCTGTTCATCTTGAATGAACATTATGCTTTCTCACTTGCACAATTTCTTTTTTGTAACTAAAGCTTGTTTATAGACTTATCTTTAGTCTAGAACTAGTTCAGTTCAGTTAGTTGGGAAACTTTCTCTTCTCATAACAGCTTAAAATGTTCTTTCTCTCCTGTGATCTCTGCACCTCTATGTCTGCATCCTCTTACTGTGTACTGCCAAAATGGACATGTTAGTAGTTATTTTAGTCATTTGGAGATTGGGAGCTGGAGTGCTAGAGATAACCTTGATTTTAAACCCAAATCTGCAGACCTTGAAGTAGGAATAATTGAGGTATTTAAAGAACAGGATATAGAGAGGATAGATCAAAAGTTAGGGTCTTGAGGAGAGAGGATTAAAGGTGGCATGAGAGGTGAGACAGACCTCCTAAAACCTCATATAATATGAAAATATAATTAATAGAACTAATCCTGAAAGAGCAACAGGAAAGAAGGCTGCACCAGACTTCATACACCTGGAGGAAATAAGAGACCTCACACAACAGTTTAACATACCAAGGCTGTGACCTGGTGGGACCCAAGCCCATCCCCCACCCCAGCTCACTGGCGGGAGGAAGAGAAACAGCAGGGAGGGAGTGGAGGCCTGGGACTGTTGGACACCCAGCCCTGGAGGTCTGCTGTGGGAGTGCGAACCTACATTGCATGGTGCTCTGGTGATTACTGGGGTTGGAAAGCTAAGACAGGTGGAATACCTAGAGAGACAGAGATTCCAGCTGCTTGTGGAAAACAGGAATTCATATCCGGCTGATCTGGGCGGACAGTCTGAGAGACTTCCCCACAGCAAGAGGGCTGCTAAAGGGGCAAGGATTGTGCAGAGCTTACTGCTCAGGAGAAAGGACAGGCAATTGTCTGAAGGCACTCTGCACAGTAGATTGGGAGCTTTCATGATCCTCAGGCGCTCCAGCCCCCTGGCTAGCTATGCAGCTCTAAGGCCCCCCACCATGATACGCAGCCTGCTCTGTCTTCCTCCAGGCCAGCCCGCACCTGGCTTGCAAACTGGCAGCCCCTGCCCTGGCGTCAGGCCAACCAGAGGGAAGCCTCACCTGCAGCAGCTACAAACGCAAAGCACAGAGGCTGACACCTGTGTGCTTGGCCCACTGGGTCTGGCCGTGGAGACAGGCCGCACAGCAGGGAAGCAGGAAACAGCTCCTTCCTCCCCCCAGGCACCAGCACCGCTCCCCTGAGACCCCTGACATCCCTCCAGGGCTGAGCAGCTCCCAAGAGTACAGTTTCTGGGCACTAGAGGGCGCCACATACAAATGTGAAATGTCAAAGGAACCTGGTTCAAAGCAAAATCTCAACGACCCCAGAAAAAGGGTCAAGTGAGACTGAACTAATAAATCTTCCTGAAAGAGATTTCAAAATGAAAATTGTAAATACACTTCTGGAGGTACAAAAAAATATTGAAGAACTCAGAAACGAATTTAGGATGGAGATCCAATCATTGAGGGACACAATGGAGAGTATTAAAAGCAGATTAGATGTGGTGGAGGAGATGATAAATGAAACAGAATGTAGAGAAGAGGAATACAAAGAAGCTGAGGCACAAAGAGAAAAAAGCATCTCTAGGAATGAAAGAATACTGAGAGAACTGTGTGACCTATCCAAATGGAACAATATTCATATGATAGGGATACCCGAAGAGGAAGGGAGAGAAAAAGGGATAGAAAGTGTCTTTGAGGAAGTAATTGCTGAAAACTTCCCCAATCTGGGGAAGAAGATAGTCTCTTAAGCCATGGAGGTGCACAGATCTTCCAACACAGGGGACCCAAGGAGGACAACACCAAGACATATAGTAATTAAAATGGAAAAGACCAAGGATAAGGACAGACTTTTAAAAGAGAGCCAGAGAGAGAAATGAGATCTCATACAAAGGAAAACCCATCAGGCTATTATCAGACTTCTCAGCAGAAACCTTACAGGCCAGAAGGGAGTGGCATGATGCATTTAATGCAGTGAAGCAGAAGGACCTCAAACCAAGACTACTCTACCCAGCAAGATTATCATTTAAATTTGAAGGAGGGATTAAACAATTTCCAGATAAGCAAAAGCTGAGAGAATTTACCTCCCACAAACCATCTCTACAGTGTATTTTGGAGGGACTGCTATAGATGGAAGTGTTCCTAAGGTTAAATAGCTATCACAGAGGTAATAAAAAGGGATAGACAAAGAGTAGAGAGTATGATACTTAATATATAAAGAATGGAGGAGTAAGAAAAGGGGGGAAAAATAAAAAGAACCTTTAGGTTGTGTTTGTAACAGCATACTGAGTGAGTTAAGTTAGACTCTTAGATAGTGAGGAAGTTACCCTTGACCCTTTGGTAACCACAAATCTAAAGCCTGCAATGGCAATAAGTATATACCTGTCGGTAATCACACTAAAGGTAAATGGAATGAATGCACCAATCAAAAGACATAGAGTCACTGAATGGATAAAAAAAAAGACCCAACTATAATCTGCCTAGAAGAGACTCACTTCAAATGCAAAGACATACAGATAGACTAAAAGTGAAGGGATGCAAAAAGATATTTCATGCAACTGATAGGGATAAAAAGGCAGGTGTTGCAATACTTGTATCAGAGAAAATAACTTCAAAACAAAGAAAGTCACAAGAGACAAAAAGGACATTACATAATAATAAAGGGCTCAGTCCAACAAGAGGATATAACCATTATAAATATCTATTCACCCAACACAGGAGCACCTATATATGTGAAACAAATACTAACAGAATTAAAAGAATTTTAACTAACAGAATTAACACAATGCATTCATTCTAGGAGACTTCAACACACCACTCACTCTGAAGGACACATCAACCAGACAGAAAATAAGTAAGGAGACAGAGGCACTGAAAAACACATTAGAACAGATGGACCTAACAGACATCTACAGAACTCTACATCCAAAAGCACCAGAATACATATTCTTCTCAAGTGCACATGGAACATTTTCAAGAATAGATCATATACTAGGCCACAAAAAGAGCCTCAGTAAATTCAAAAAGATTGAAATTGTACCAACCAGCTTCTCAGATCACAAAGGTATGAAACTAGAAATAAATTAATGCAAAGAAAACGAAAAATCCCACAAACACATTGAGGCTTAATAATATGCTCCTAAATAGTCAATGGATTAATGACCAAATAAAAACAGAGATCAAGCAATATTCAAGACTGCAAAATCTGTGGGACACAGTGAGGCTGTGCCGAGAGAGAAGTATATTGCAATATAGGCCAAATTAGGAAAAACAAACAATCCCATATGAACAGACTAAACTCATAATTAACTAAATCAGAAAAAGAAGAACAAGTGAGGCCCAAAGTCAGTAGAAGGAGGGGCATAATAAAGATTAGAGGAGAAATAAAATTGAAAACAATAAAGCAATAAATAGAATCAATGAAAGAAAATAAACAAAATAGATAAACTGCTAACCCAACCTATCAAGAAAAAAAGAGATCTGTATACATACACAGAACCAAAAATGAGAAAGAAAAATCACTATAGACACCACAGAAATACAAAGAATTATTAGAGAATACTGTGAAAAATTATATGGTAACAAACTGGATAACCTAGAAGAAATGGACAGCTTTTTGGAAAAATACTTCCTTCCAAGGCTGACCCAGAAAGAAACAGAAAATCTGAATAGACCAATTACTAGCAACAAAATTGAATTGGAAATCAAAAAACTGCCTAAGAATAAAACCCCTGGACAGGATGGCTTCACCACTGAAGTTTATACAACATGTAGTAAAGACCTAATATCCATCTTCCTTAAAGTTTTCCAAAAAGTAGAAGATGAGGGAATACTTCCAAACTCAT